GAAATATACGTAACGACTAAAGGTAACAGAAATTCAGCAGTGATGATAAATAGGGCACTGTGGAATCACAATAGGTATGATGTTGTGAGAGGAATATGGAAAGGGGTCATTGTTCCTGGTCTGACGTTCGGCAATGCGGTCTTGTGCATGAGATCGGAAGTTCAAGCAAGATTAGAAATTAAGCAACGTGGAATGGGTAGGCTTGCTTTAGGAGCTCACGGGAATACACCAAATCATGGAGTACAAGGTGATATGGGATGGACATCATTTGAGGGCAGGGAAGCTAGCAGCAAGATAAAATTTGAGAAGCGATTGAGAGAAATGGGAGAGGAGCGTTTGGTTAGGAAGGTTTTCAGCTATTTGTACTTGAAGAATGTCGATACAAAATGGAGGAAGTGAACCAGAAAATTGAGGAGTAAATACTTAGAAAAGAGCAGGGGGCCAAACCATATAGAACTATCGGTTAAGAAGAAGGTGATGGAAACGGAGACCTATATGTGGAAAAGTGGCATGATTAAGAAGTCTGAAGTATAGAGATCTATCAAACAATTAAGCAGGATATACCCAATTAGAAAAGGATCTATGATAATACTCGGGGTAGTTCTCTGGCCAGGACGGGAGTATTGCGAACCAAGACATATCAGGCCAAACACGAAGGGGTAGACACGGTATGCAGTGAGTGTGGAGAGGAGAAGGAAACTGCCAAACACTTGATAATGTTCTGTTAAGGGCTTCACCCGATAGTTCGGGATGATGCGCAGAGTTCTTCGAAGCACTGGGGTTTAGGGACAGGGAGGGCAAAATAGACTTTAAGCGGGTAGAATTAACTAGAAGGAGGTTATCTGATTGGTGGCCAAAGTCAAGGCACGAGTGAAAATTAAACCCTTCACTGCAAAGTACCATATTTAGGCGGCGTTAGCCGCCACCTGATTCAAAAGGTACAACCATACCAATCCATCCACAATTGGCGCAAGGTGCGCACCGATGCGCTTTCCCGAAAATGCCGTTAGAGATGAACTCTTTTCCGTTATTTCCGTTATGGGAAGGTGCCATAGATAGATAAAACATCGCGCCGAGAGTTCTCCGAAATCATAAGTGTCAGAATGCAATGCACAGAAATTTAAAGTGTTATGTATTGTTTTGAAACTTTCTAATTCTGCTACGCGAAAAACTGAGTGCTAAACAGAACTCTGAGAACCCCCGCATGTGCAACTCAGAAGCGTAATCGGGTAAAAAATAACGATCGGATGAGTTCGACGGAACTATAAATCATCCGGATATTGCGCACAAATCCTTTGCCACGCTCTTTGTTCAGCTTTCAGCGCAGGATGCATACGCACATGGGAAATTGCTAGCACTCCGCTACAATACGTCAGACTATATGTGCGTTCACTAATAGTACGTCGTGTGAATGCAAAAGCTAGAGAAGTGTTTGCAGGATTACACTTCATAATGGAATAATTAGAAGCGCAAACCAACGGGACACAAGAGAAGAGACAAACAAGCGCAGCCAACTAGCTCGCCTGTCACCCTACTGCAGGATTACGCTTGTTTTCGCGTTAATCAGTATGAGAATTTTCGTAACGTTCAGCAGCCAATTTTACACCCTTGCAATGTTGGTCTAATAATCCTGAATAACTGCGCAAAAAAAAAAAACAGAGAAACAGGGGTGGTGCCAGGATTTTGTTATTGAGAGGCCACCCACGACAAATGGGTTAAATTCGGGGGGGGGGGGGGCGCAGGGAGACTACATACGTATTGTATTTTGACAATGTTTCTCCTTGGGGGCGGGAAGAAAGTATTTTAAGACCCCCTCCTCCCCCCCACCATAAACCCGCTGGCGCCACCCTTGCCGAGTAATCGTGAAACTTTCTCCTGACATATATTATGTCAAACTACATACTTTAATTAGTATGTATAGTATGTCAAGCCCATACCCCCCCCCCCCGCCCTTCTTGCAGATGGCGTATTTTTTAAAATACTTTCCCCCTCTACGTGAACCGTTTCTTTTTGTGCTGCACCCGATCGAAATATCTGCAAAAAGTGAACGATGCCCCCAACAGCACAAAGAAAGAGCTGACAACGCTTTTTGTCGGAGTAACTGCGACATTTAACTCCGTTTTCATGAGCTCTCATATAGCTTCGTGAGGGACGCGCTCGTGCGCTGGTGGGCTGCGCTCTTACGCATGCAGCCCCGAACTTAACAATCAAACCCTGGCCGTCCAGAGTGCCCGTGAAAGGGCTGCCAAGGTCGGCTTGACGGTCCCTACGTGGGATTAGCCGGGTGGCGCGGGGTCTCCCCTGCGTCTCCTCAGTTTTACTAAATCAATTGTTCAATCAACGTGAAGTCTTCAAAAGTGGAGTTCACTGTTAAAGTAGCGCATAAGTGGACACGCAAATAGAAACTGCGTTCTACAGTGCTTAGTGTCTGGACTTAATTTATCCGGCAGTTGGAATGGTTTGCCGAATGGCGAGCTCTACAATGACAGTGCTTGTCTGAAAGAAAAGTTCAGGTCCGTTCCAGTAGGTGCTCAAGTGTTCCCAGCTGACCTCAAAAAAAAAAGTGTCACCTCTCTGAATGAACTCTCTCAATTCGTTTTCACCAATTGTTCCGACATTTAATCAACCTTCATATTAAGTAAAGTTGTAATACTACATAATATGTACCCAACATAACTCTTGACCTAAACAACAGAATTATTTATTTCGTACCAATTTTATGCTTCAGGATACTGTTGCTGAACATCCGGGAAACCAAAAGCGCTTGACCGCAGCTACTCAAGAGTGTCAATCGGTGCTGAAGCCATGCACTCAATAAGCAGTTTACCAAAGCGGCAACTTTTCACTTTTCTAAGACAACAGAAGCGCACAAGATCCATGGGCTCTTAGATGAGAAGCAGCTGAAGCCCCTGGTATAGCTCAAGCTATAATGTGCGTGGCCACACTTGCTGCGCATGCGCATCAGCTGTTCCAAGCACTGCCAGAGGGCGTTCGGGCCTCTGTAAGGGGCCCCTCCGCCTTGCGCTCTCAGCAATCACGTTATGGGGTCGGGGAAAGATATTCTGCAGAAGCGCGATGAACGCACGTTCTTCCGCGTGGCGTGCTCTAACAAGAGTTTGGAAACAGAAACGATGAATTCATGGTGTGCTCCACCTGCGAGGACGCGTCAACATCGAGTAAGGTGCCCGGGATGAACGGAACTTTAAGTCGACCATATGCTTCACATGCTACTCATGGTTCCCTTTAGTGGGAGATGGTGAAACCTTTAACACCCGCCACACACGATAGCACTAGCGCTTTGTGTGTCCCTGGTTCTCGAGCGCTTCTATCGCGCTCTTCAAGAACAAAACGTGGATCAGAGAAGGAGAGGAAGACAGGTGCATAGGTGTCAAATGACCTGGCTGGTGAGAATAAAGTGGCACCTTCGAGTACTTGAAGGGGGAAATTGTAGTCGCTCTGTGAAGGCAGCTTCTCAATTTCCTCCTGCAGCGTCGCAGTCCTGCGCACTCACAGTTCTTGAACATAATATAACACAGCTCATGGCGCCGCGGACACGACAGAAGGCACAAACCGCAGCGCTGACTCGCAACTGAAAATTTATTGGAAGAATTGTCATCAACTGCCCCTGCTTTCAGTCCTTCTGCTCTCCATGTGCACAGCGTCACTATGGCGTAGCTGCGAAAACCATTCCGAAAAGTAAACAGTGTCACAGTTTCAAAAAAAAAAATGACCGCAGTTTCCTGAGTGGGAACACTGGTTAGCATGCGGAGCATATATGTTGAACTGCGATAAATGTGGTTTGTAATTTGCGACATGCGTGTGTTTTATGAGTGAACACTCTTCTCAGCGCGGCCTTGTCCATGGCCGAAGTGTCTTCGGAATTGCTTGTGGTTCCGCCAACACGTTGGCTGACGCTATTGGAAGGGACGTAAGTGTGTTTGCGGATTCGTTAGCATACATTTTCACCAGCGACATCGGACGTCGAGCGACTGCACAAACCAACCAACGAAGGGCGGCGCGCCCCGACACTCGGTTATTTATAGCGAGCGCCAGCCCTGGCCTGCGCATGCGCGTGTTAGCATACAGCTGGCGCACGTAAAACTAAAGGTCGCGCGGCACGCGGAGGGGAGAAGCGAGCGCAGCGCGCACTGTGTTGAGAGGAGGAAGGGATGCACAGATGGCTGGCGGAGGAGGAGGGGAGGCTGCGGACGGCGACGGCGCATGACTAGTCCGTAGTATAACATGCTCCGCATGTAAAAAACAAAAAAGGAAAACGGTAAAAAAAGAAAGACTAAGAGCCTGCATGCAAGCTTTCTTAATCTGACGATCATACTTCTTACCCTTTCTTCCACTGTTAATTAGGCCTTGGAATTCCCTTCCTATTTCATTAAAGCTCCTTTTAGTAGTCCAGCGAATCATTTTGACGTCAGAGTAAAAGTAATTAAACGTCGGCCTTGCTTTGCTCTTTGGTAAGATCATCTGTGATGCACTCGCGCTAGAATATCCGCGATATATACGTCAACGAGGCCTAGTTTAAGGACACTATTTTTTACCACCTGTTTATTTGTTCCATCTCAATTTTATATTTTGTCTGTTTTGCTTAAATTCTGTATCGTACTTTCTATATATCGGGTCATTGTTAAAACGTGTCTTAACGTTACGCCAACGGACTATGGAAGGGAAGGAGGGTTCGAACCCCCATCGAGATATTTCACTTGTGCACGTGTATATATACACGCACGCAAGAGCATACAGGAAGTATATACGGTTCGGTTCCCCCATCCCTATCCCCGAGAAAAAAAATCTGGATGCGCACCTACGTTGCAAGAAAGAAAGAAAGAAAGCACGTTTACTCCTCGCTTTATGCCGGCGAAGGGGCAATCTGCAAATATAACTGCACGCTGTACATCGTGGACTACGTGTCCGGACCAGGTCGCTTCACCAGTTTCCGAAATCGTCGCAAATAACACAGTTGCCGCGCCCGGTCGTTGCGCACAAGCTCACACCGCCCACGCGGTCTTGGTGACGTCCGCGCGCAGTGGGAATACGGCGCCGTCTCCGAGGCCGGTGTAGACGGGCACGAGCCAGAGCAGCTTGCGCGGTCCCATCACCTGCGCGATGTTTCTGCATAGGCCAATGTCGTAGCGGCGTATGCCCTGCCTCGCGATCATCTCCAGCGTGGTGCAGTTGATGCACAGCAGGAACAGGTGGTAAAGCAGCAGTCCGACGAAGGCCAAGCCGAAGAACAATGACAGGAGGAAGAGGAAGGTGAGGTTGACCTCGGGCCAGATGCCCAGAACGAGGCGCGTCATGGCGCCGAAGTGAGGGTACGTGGTGGCCGACACGTAGACGCAGTGCACGAACGAGTAGAAGAGAAAGAGGATGAAGTACTTGTAGTTGGAGAAGGATACGCACTTGTTGAACCAGGGACAGTGGTGGTCCATCTTGAGCACGCACGTGCCACACACCTGGCGGGGGAGAAGAAACATTTATTTGGCGCCATAGACAGGGACCTGGTGTTCAGTGCGCTAGATGCTACTGTTGGTCAGCCGTCCAGGAGACCTTAGTCCCTGGCGGCTGCCTCTGCCCGCTCCGTGACCCACAATTGCATTTCCGGGTCGGAGCTCAGCAGCGTGGTCTCCCACTGTTGAGGGATACGCGCATGAAGTTGCCGCGTTTTAGGACAGTTCCGGAGGGCATGGTAGATTTGAGTCCTCCCTTTAGCAACGTTTACAACAGCAAGAGTAAACTGAGAGGTTAATGCAGGCAGTGATTTGAAGACAGCTACAAATGAATTGTTTTCCCACAGCTGGCAGAGCACGAAAGACGGGGAATATTCATGTGTGGCTTGTTTCATTTTGTTAATACAACCTAATCAAACCAACAGACATATCTTCATCTTGCACTGGCGTCGCTGAAACAGTCGTATCGGATCGCTGGCATGAGGGGGCGCGCGAAGTTTGCGATGTCACGTCAATTTTATCAAAACATCACATGCACGTTCTTTCGCTCATCAAACACACAGGCGTTCGTGTCACGACGTTGTCACGATGAACTTGTTTGTCATCACAGCGCCATAATTCAGTACCACTGTATACGCTCAGAACCAGGATTAAAAATAAGCTAATCCTAAGTAGGGACCGAACCTACAACCTTCGGATAACGCGTCCTATGCTCTACCAATTGAGCTACAGCGGCGACCACTTTCCCAGATTATCACAAACATATGTGACCACTTGAGTGGATACTTAATTTAGTGGTCACGTATGTTTGTGGTATTCTGGGGGTGTTTGCCAGCGCGAAGCTCGCAGTCATGACGGCGATCGAGTGTGATATACTTCTTGCTGCTATAGCTGTCGTAACGTAGCCCGTGGTCCTATTACAAGCTGGAAGCCGACCAACAAACCCTTGATCGTTACACCTGCTCACAGAGTTTTCTGCGAAAGAGAAAACTGTGGCTCTTGCATGCGATCGTTCAGCCACTGCAGGAATGATGGATAGTACATGGATTTACCTGGGGTGCTATTCTGGACATTGTCCAATTCCGCCATGCTGTTAAATTCCGCCTTTTTTTCAATTTCGATTAGCCCAGAGCGCTGGTACGGACTCTGTTATTGGCTTAAAATGCCGCCTTTACAAAATTTGGCAATGAGACAGAACCAGACAACTTCCAGGATAGCGCCCCTGATCTTCCTGCTTACGACTTCGGACTCACTTGTGGCTGTGTATTGTTCTGTTCTGGCTGTCGTCCCGAAAAAAAATGGCTCGTTGTGAACCTCGCTATATGAATGGTGAAGTGGGATTCTTGAACTTTTGTTGGATTGCGACAAAGCGGCTGCAGGCCACATGGTGCCACGAAGTTTATAGGCAAATCTATCTACTATATTTCCCACGCTGGCTGAACCTTCATGTGGTGCAGCCCTCTATGGCAAGATTTTCCTCTAACGAAACTCTACGCACCTGGCAGTGGTGGCAGCGGTCGGGCTTTATCACGTGGCACTGGTAGCAGTAGCGCCGACGCCGGTCGGCGGTGTCCATGCGCTGCATCACGTAGAAGCAGACGGGCACCGGTTTGAGCGGCGTGCGCAGCAGGCGCTCGAAGGGCCACAGCGCGCACAGCAGCGTCACATGGAAGCCGACCAGGCGGGAGACCCTGTAGGCCTGCCCGCTGTCGGCCAGCAGATGACAGCACATGACCAGCACGTACGTGTGGTACTCCCAGGCGAGCACGATGAACTCGATAACGATGGGCATGAGCCGCATCAGGGCGAACGCGCTCCGGAACCGCTTGCGACAGCCAGCTATGGGGCACAGCAAGGCCCTCAGGAGCCGTACCAGGGCGGCGATGCGGTGGCCCGTGGCCGCGACGCAGGGGTTCCGCCCGGAGCCAGTGCGTGGTTTGCGGGGAAAGGGTGGAGGGAGGGGGACGTTTGTTTCTCCGCTGCCGTCGGAACTCAGAAGCACCATGGCGACTCAACCGCCTCGCTTACATACGATCGAGTTGTTGATGAGGACTCACGCAACGTTTACAGTAATAATGATTATGATTCTTTGTTCAGCGGCATGACCCCACTACGCTGGGAATCAGATGGCTATCAGGAAACAAAAAAGCTATAAAATAAATAATAGAGAGATATGTAATTTCTACGAGACAATGACATAAATCACTCACAATAGTGAATCTGTCAACTTTGCATAAACAAAAAATAAATACCCTCCCCCTTCTGCTACGAAAAGAAGAAATGTTTGCAACGTTTCTTCTTCTACTTCGGATATACTAGTTCGAATGGGCGTTTTGTTCCTTGACTCACATGTTCGAACTAAAGAGTTGTCTGAAGAAGCAAGACAGACGAATTATACTTTCTGCTTCAGTTGTGGGGAAAACTGCTGATGGAAAGGGAAAACACGCAGTACTAAAGGAAACATTAAAACCTTAAAGAGGAGGTGCACACATACGACTGCTTACACCCTACCCTGTACTCAGTGCTTGAGATTCCACAGAGAATCTGAAAAATTACAACTTGTACATATAATGTTGAGCGGATAATCCCACCATTCACAGGCATTATTGTGAACGAGTTTATATACGTTCTACGTATATGCTACGTATATTTCATATATGTTCCATTTATAGGTATATATGTTCTTGTAACGTTACGACAACGTTCGTACAGCAAACATGCGCTTGTCCGTCTGATTCCGAATGTCTTTCATCCAGCGATGGCCATTACGCACTGATTCGAAAACCATAAAGCTAGAGATAAGAAAAACAAAAGTTCCCGGTTTTTTAGCCATTTAAAGAGTGTGATAGCATAAATATGTTAACATGTTCGCCTGAACCGTGGATCACGACCACTAATAGAAAATGACCCGAATCAGGTTGTCATACCAGTTACAAAAGGTGATTCCAAGACGACATATAAGCATTTGCTACATCTTCATACCCACTTCTCGTAAACCATGCTTGTGCGTGTACTGGGTTAACTCTGAGTGAGGTTATTCCTCTCCGTGGGCCACCGATCACAGATATACGGTGGGTGTACCGTATACCGTGTACACGTTTAAAGAGAACTGAACGAGGCTCGATTCATTTCGCGTCGTACAAAATTTAAAGACCTTCTACCTCCACTGTTGTTGCACGCAGTAACTTGAGGACGGAAGATGTAGCGAAGCAACTCGCGCTGTTGCACGTACCATCCCTGTCATTCTTTTAAAAGTTGCAAGCTATCAAAACAAAAGTGTTTAGTTAGAATTGCCCGGTTCTTGGCCAATCACCTAACATAGGTGTGTGCCACAGATGATGATAATGATGATGATGATGATGATGACGCCTTAAATATGTCGCATACCCACTCAGGGGGATAGCCAATAAACAGTTTCCTGGCTCTTCTTCTTCGTCATCGCGTGCGTCTTACGACAGTAGAGGTTTTTTTTTTTCAAAGGAACATTATCATTGTTTTTATCTAATTTCTCTCTTTTTTTAGCAAGCGTTGTACAAAAAATACCTATTATAAGGTACAGTGTTGCCAATCCCCCTTGTGAGTATGAGCCAAGCTATTCTAGGCGACAAGACAAGACAAGGTATCTAATTCTACGCCTCAGAAGAAGGAGCTACGCGCGCAGTGCCTCGGAAGCGGCCACACGTATGTGCTTCACAGCTGGGTGCATCGACTGGCTTCCCGTGGTGGGTGGCTGGCTGGTGAAGGCGTGGAGCTACTACGCCTACGTGATCGTGTTCTGCGGCTCCGTGGTCAAGGACGACGCGGTGCGGTTAGCCTTCATCGTCGGCTTCCACGTGCTGATGGCGCTGCTGCTCTGGTCCGAGCTGACGACCATCGCCACCCCACCGCCGAATGTGCCCGCCTACTTCAGCCTGAGCGAGGTTGACCTCCGGCTCCTGCAGGAGGCGCGCACCGAAGAGGCCCGCAAGGGTTTCCTCGAGGTCCTGGGCCAGCAGCGCGGAGTCCTCACTCGAGGCCTGGACGGCGCCGTGAGTTACTGCGAGGTGTGCGAACGCATCAAGCCCGACCGGGCACACCACTGCTCGGTGTGCCGGCGGTGCGTGCTCAAGATGGACCACCACTGCCCGTGGTTCAACAACTGCGTCTGCTTCAGCACCTACAAGGCATTCCTGCTGACCAACATGTACGTCATCCTGCTGTGCACCTACACCTTGTTCACGGCCGGGAGCTACTTCCACCAGGTGCCCTGGAACCATTGGCGCATAACGGAGCCCGCGGTACAGGTCAGTGCCGTGGAACGGGTCATGAATGAAAACGATAGTGGCTGCATGTACAGAGTTACAAGCAACTATTTGCCAAAAATTTATTAGATATAGAGAAAGAAAACGACTGTTGGGAGCGAGGAGTCTTCCTGCCGAGGACAGAACGACAGACGACACACCACTGGTCTATATAAAAAACAGTTGAACGATGCATGCCTATATAGAGATAAACGATCTTATAATCAGTGAGCCATGCATGCATGCGTTACCAACTGGTATACTTACAGCTTTGTTTTCTCAATGTGGTATCTCGTCCAGCGCTGTGTCGTCTGTCTTTCTTTCCTCGTCAAGTATCTGGAACCTTCTTCGCTGTGTGCAACAAACGAGCTCGGAAAGGCATCATTTTAAGCTGTTAAAAATGCTTTCAAAAAGCTTTTATGTCATCCGATCGTATACGTTGAACGTCTTTGCGCCTTGCGACAGACGCTATACAATGCGAAAGAGAAACAGCTCGCGGACGATCAAGAACTCTCTTTTGTTAGGTGCATAACCACTGAACTCTTATCATGACACATTCACCACGTCGACAAGGTAGGAAACATAATTTGTCCTTTCTCTCTTGTTTAAAGAAATGTAGACCTTAAGGTACGGTCGTACAGCATAGACACACAAAGAGTACAGGGCAAACTTTGTCTTCTAAAATGCACGGCATCTTTCTTCCCAGTGTATCATGTCACTGCGCTGACATGAATTCGTACAGTAACTATAACCGAGTAGACCAACAGCAAGTGATGATTTACTGATTTGTTGAGTTTAACGTCCCAAAACCCCGAAATGATTATGAGACACCATAGTGGAGGGCTCCGAAGATTTCGACCACCTGGGGTTCTTTAACGTGCGCCCAAATCTGAGCACACGAGCCTACAACATTTCCGCCTACATCGGAAATGCAGCCGCCGCAGCTAGGATTTGATCCCGTGACCTGCAGGTCAGCAGCCGAGTACCTTAGCCACTATAGACCACCGCGGCGGGGCGCCAACAGCAAGTATGAACTAATCTATTATTCTGAAGCCCCGCCGCGGTGTTCTAGTGGCTTAAGGTACACAGCTGCTGACGCGCAGCTCGCGGGATCGAATCCCAGCTGCGGCGGCTGAAGGCAAAAATGCTGTAGGCCCGTGTGCTCGGACTTGGGTGCACGTTAATGAACCCCAGGTGGTCTAAATCTCTGGAGCCCTCCACTTCGGCATCTCTCATAACCATATGGTGGTTTTTGGACGTTAAACCCTACATATAAATCAATCAATTTATTATTCTGAAACAGTTTGAGTAGAAAAAAGAAGAAATAAGGATGTATGAGAAAGCAGCATCAGTATAATAATATTATGCCATGCGCGCATTACTCCACTGTCGAAAATGGGGACAAGGTGTAATTTAAAAGGAAGGATCGATGCGGCTGTTTTCGAAATATGGGAAATGGTAAGTCAACATCGATACATCCGACAACCATCTCGTATACAGATCACCAAGCTCGTCACAGATGCACGTCAGACGCTTAAGGGCCGGAACAGGAAGGAAGCTTCCACGGGCTGCGTCCTGAACAGGTGCTGGCTTGAACGAACAGCTGCCATGACACCTGCTTGTCATCGCACTACCGCAGGCAGCAGCGGGATGCGTTAGTCACGAATGAATTACTCGAGTGCGTCCTGTTGCGATCTTCCATCTTAGCTCATGCGCTCACTCAAACCTCAATGCACCGTGTTCAAAAAAACGAATGGTACAAGTGAGCTTAGTGTGCTGTGTTCAACATAAAGAGGTTGGAGACATAGTTTTATCACCCCTTCATTTGTCGCCATTTATATGTTGAGTCTCAAAGAAAACCAGTATTGCTGTTGAAGCAAAAATTAAAATGAAGCGCCCGGCGTTTTTCTCTAAGTGGCCCGCCTTTGGTGCGTTAGAGTGTAATGGTATGAAGCAAACAGTTCTTGAGTTCTAACATCGAAGCTTCTCGGCCAGCTGCATGGCCACAACCGTTCGTATCAAGTAATGACAGGACAAATGTGACTGAGCGGGGAGGGGCAGACTTCGCGCCCCTTTAAATGGTTGAGTGCAACCACACAATTTGCGTGCGCGCCTGTGCAAGTGGGCGACTTTTCGCTGACTGCTCGGCAAATGCGCGCCCATGCAGGTCAGCACCATGGTAATCGTGTCGGTTGCCTTCTTCTTCTCCGTCGGCCCTTTCTTCTTCTTTCACCTCACGCTGGTGGCGTTCAACCGGACCACGCTGGAATCCTTGCGCAGGCCCCAATTCGTGGACAAAGGCGACACATTCGACATAGGCTTCCACAACAACGTCGTTGAGGTGCTTGGCCACAGCTGGCTGCTGTGGCTGTTCCCCGTGCACACCAGCTTGGGTGACGGATCGCGCTTCCCCACCAAGCTGCATCCACACAACCGCGATCGTTTCCACGTGCGCGGCATTTGAGACGCCCTTGTCTGACCACCGCACGGAGCGCGAATACTAGACGATGTGCGAAAGCGAATAGAAACACGCGAACGTGGTTTGGAGGTTTCAGTGTCACCAACTGTCGAATGTGCGTGTTATCTTCACAAAAACTGAGTATTATACGTCGCATTGAACTCTTCCATCTTGTTTTCTATGTACCGTAAACCGCCCATAGAGCAGATTACCCGAATAATAAAGCGAATCGGTATATAACCTCAACGTTTGCAAAATGACATAAGATGTACTTCAAGCTCTCTTATTTTACAGAGAAGCTGTTTAATCTGCCGGCTGCTCGTTCTCCGTCGTAAACGATCATCATCATCATCATCATCATCATCATCACAAAGCAGCACGTGTTGTCGCCATTCTGTTGGCAACGAAGCTCTTTAAAGGATATCGGTGGACAATAGGTGAACAAGAACAACAAGCTTGCTGAGATCGTTGGTCTGAACCATGTTCAACGCCTTCCACGCCTTCAAGCTTGCCCGTGCGAAACCTGCTGGGGTGTTCTTGGCTGATGATTGAGTGGTTTTAACTTTGCAGGCTTAGTGTTCGAGTCTCTAGTTTATCTGTTTGTGAGTCTAACACTACCTCTAGTGCTCATGTCGACTACTACTCCTGGCCAGGCGCGATACGGCTGGTCAGCGTCCCTGCCGTCTAATGAGTTGCCGCTAGACTCCTTTTTGCGCAGTGGTATCGACAGCATTCCCGTTGCACAAATGGAGGCTTCATCAGACTTACGAACCCTCAGGCGGTCCAAAAGAAACTTAAAGCCACTTCAAACAATTTCCAGACCATCACAGATGTGCGCCCATTTGGGCGAGGAGGCATCCTGCGTAGGTCGCCGGATCAGACCTGCGTGCAGGATCTTCTCAAATGCACCTCGTTTCCCGCTACCCCGGAGAGCTCTTTCATTCCGACTCACCTTGCATGTCAAAGGCCTTGTACGGGGAGGCGACTCCAAGCTGAGTCGAGCTGAGGCCCTAGACAGGCTCTCTGGAGCAGGCGTAATTTCGATTTGCCTATGTAATCGCCTATAGTCGACAAAGAGAGGGTACCAATCAAATCTGTCATCGCGACATTTGTGGGCACAACATTCCCGTAAGAAATAAAATTATGGTAATTGATCTTTCGAGTAGAGCCCCTCGCTTCTCGTCCGACTCAGTGCAAAAACTGCTGGAGATTCGGCCACAGTGCGGGAGGATGTAGATCTAACATTCGTTGTAGCCGCTGCGGAGAGAGCCATCCTTCAAGCAAGTGTACTGCAACAGCGGAAAAGTGTTGTCTTTGAGGGAGGAGTCACTGCGCCGACAACTCTGACTGATCCGCTCATTCCCAGGAGGTTCAAATTCTAGAAGTTATTGACCGCCGCCGCTGTTCTCGAAGGGAAGCCATTGACATAGTTAGAGACAGGGCTTTTAGATACTCTGGCATTACAGCGCACTACACTTCCAGTATAGACTCAAATCTATCGCAGGCTATTGAAAGTGTGAAAATGCAAAAAATGAACACCTCTTTAGAAGATACAGCGCAAGGTTCAGAATGCCACTTCACTGCCAATCTTTCGGTTATTCGGCCCATGCTAGTAATCTTGCATGAATTTCCAGAAGTTTCTTTAGCTGAGTTGAGTCAGACAGATTATGCTTACGGAGGACGGCTCCCGGACCAGATGGGATTACGAACTTTATGTTAAAATTTTTACTCCAGGAGTCGTCTTATCTCTTGCTAGAACTAGTTAATTATTCGTTAGGGAACGCATGGATATACCTCCAGAATGGAAACTTGCCAAAATTATATTGTTGCTCAAAAATAAAAATGGAGCATACATGTTGGATAACATAAGGCCAATCGCACTGACATCAAATTTAGTGAAATTGGTTGAGAGCGCCATCAATATACGAAATAATGAATTAATTACCGTGAGGTAATAAGTTCATTATTTAGTAAGCGCTTGAAGGTCTTAGTAAGCGCTTGAAGGTCTTTAGTAAGCGCTTGAAGGTCTTATTGTTAAATGATTTATGACTTGAATGTTTTCTTTTGGGTTTCTTTGTTTCAAGCACATTGTCACTAATGCTCTATGACCCTACGTTTTTGCACCATTTTTTTTAAATATTGGTGTGATTTCGTCGCTCTTTGCTGACTAAAAAGCTAATCCTCTTTTTACTTTTTGTTAGGAGGTCCCCCTGACAGTTCTTACTTTGGGACCTTCGATTGTTCATTAGACATGCAAAATGTATTCATAAAAATTGTATCTATTTTCGAATAAACAACAAACAACAACAACACAAAAAAGTCGATTTCAAGTCCCTGTCAAATTGAGTTCAGGGCTGGTTGTTCAATATGGGATACCCACGTTGATGTTCAATATGGGATACCCACGTTGAGGATACCCACGAAGTCGGCTTCAATTAGCTCGGCTACATAACAAATGTGCAACTTTAGTTACCCTAGACATCGCTAAAGCATATTGCTGCGTGCATAGCTGCATTTAGCGGCGAGATAGCGACGACAACGAAGAACGCGGATTCGCTCGAGAGGCGCAGCGCAGCAGAGTGAAGAAGAGGACAATCTTAGCGGCCTTCTCCGAGAGCGTCTCTACAAGTCCTACTGTCCGTGCTTTTAAATAAACCCCCCTGTCATTTATAACCCGCGACACTGGTGGAGGAGCTGGGTACTACCACCCCATGATCAGCACCCCTGTGAGAAGCCCCGAGTCCAGCCCTACGAGACAGCCACGCGTGGAGACGCCTGTGCACCGCTCAAGCCGTCGCCTTCAAGGTCTTGAACCAGAATTTGGCCTTTTAAAGGGAGCAACACTTCCGACAACCACCCCTACTCAAGAAATGGCAAGGAGTCCTGCACAGGTGACGGTCCAGAATATGCGCATTCCTGAACCATTTCATGGCCGGCCGAACGAAGATGCACAAGACTGGCTTGAGCAGTTCGAACGGGTAGCTAAATCGAACTACTGGAGTCTCGATGGAAAGCTCTTCCACGTATACTTCGCCCTTGAAGACGGCGCGAAGACATGGTTTATAAACCGGGAGGCAACACTGACGACATGGGAGGAGTTTTGTCGTCGGTTTCTTGACACCTTCGGTAACGCGGACCGACGCGAAAACGCACAACGCCTTCTTGAAGGACGCACCCAACAGCTGCATGAAAGCGTCGCCATGTTTGCTGAGGATATGGTGCGCCTGTGCCACCGCGCGGACCCCAACATGCCCGAGGCTCGAAAGCTAACCCATCTCATGAGGGGCGTCAAAGAGCAGCTATTTGTTGGTCTTGTGCGCAATCCACCGACAACAGTGGACGAGTTCACCAGGGAGGCCACCGCAATAGAGCGTGCGCTACAGCAACGGTACCGACAGTCTGATCGCCCGGCCACCGGCGCAGCTGCAGGCGCCGCCGCACTTACCGCAAACGACGAGTTTGCTCTACGCCACCTGATTAGACAGATCGTGCGTGAGGAGATCGCGAAGGAGAACGCGAAATACACATTGCAGTCACAGGCGCCCCCGCAGCAGGAGTCCACGGTAGCCTCCGTCGCTGAAATAGTTCGCCATGAACTTCGACAAGCGTTTGCCTCTCCTCAGCAATATTCTGCTCCACCGCACCGTCCAAACTCGTATACCTATGCAGATGCTGTGCGTCGTCCATTGGCTCCAGAAGTATCGTACCAGCCGAACGGATACAGCTATGCAGACGCTATTCGTCGACCCACGCCCATGCCAGCGCCGCAGTACCTCGAACCGTATCCTGTGGCAGCCTGGGCTCAGCAGGATTCTGTCAGGCGACCCTATATGCGGAAGACCGACATATGGCGCACTGCGGATCGTCGACCACTCTGCTACAACTGTGGAGAGCCAGGGCACATTTGCCGTTTTTGCCCACATCGCCGAGCTGAATACCGCGGTAGTGCACCTACAGCTACGCGCCGACAGTTCGACGAAAGCCGTGCCCCCATCGACGACGACCAGGCTGGCAGGCGGGAAGGCTCTTCTACCTTCCGGACGCGGTCACCATCACCGGCTCGCTTTGGTTCACCAAGTCCGCCGTAGTTTTGCTGACGCCGTCAGAGGTCGGTCTCCCAGCCCACGGCGGGGAAACTGAAAGCAGCGACCTCTGGGGGGAAGGTTGCAAGCCGTCGAATTGCCGAAAAACCCCCACTGCTGCCGAAACACGTGAGAGACGACGATGAAGACTTCGCCGAAAAAACTGTGACTGCCGACCTTGCTGTGACGATTGACGGCGTTGAAGTGACGGCCTTAGTCGATACGGGTGCAGACTTCTCCATAATGAGTGAACGATTGGCAGACGAACTCAAGAAAGTCAGGATGGAATGGACGGGCCCTTATATCCGAAGTGCTGGAGGCCAGATAATGACTCCCACGGGAAAATGTACAGCAAGACTCACTATTGAGAATGTGGCTTTTGTAGCCACATTTCTGATCCTACCGGAGTGCTGCAAACCTATGATTCTGGGAATGGACTTCTTAAGAGAGTACGGTGCTGTGGTCAACATACGCGACGGTGTGATCACATTTGCCGCTGACAAGTCTGTGACCACTGATCCAGACCAAGAACCCAGGGTGTTACGTGTGGTCGACGACGACGTCTGCGTGCCACCACTGTCATGTAGTCTTGTTTCCGTGTGTTGTGCCATGCACTGTAATGAAGACGCCATAGTCGAACGCATCACTGACCTTCTTTTTCACCAAGGCATCGCCATCGCTCGCGGTATTGTCAGCTTAGTGGATGGGCGTGCAGACGTGCTTCTGACCAACTTCACGAATGAGCGCCGGCACATCGGTAAAGGCACGGCTGTGGCGTACCTCGAAGAGCTGGACTACTCTCACGACTGTCTTCTAATGCAAGGGGAAGCCACAGTTCAATCACCTCCACATACACCACCAGTTGATATCGGTCCGAGTCTAACACCGACTGAAAGATGCCGTCTTATGGAGCTGCTCGACCAG